GACCGCCTCCTTCCATATGAACCTACCCGGCAGTTAAGATCTAGCCAGGGGGCCCTTTTGAAAGAGCCATCCCTTAAGGAGGTAAGAGGGACGGCTTGTAGACTAAGGGCCTTTTCGGCAGCTGCCCCCAGACTATGGAATGATTTCCTGACTGAGATTTGTCTGGCGCCGACGCTGATGACATTTCGGCGCCAGGTCAAAACCTTCCTGTTCCAAATGGCTTTTAACTGAAATAATATCAGCTGTAGGTCTGATGGCAATTTTTAGAATATATATTTTAATTGCATTTTAATTATTTTGCCCTTTTATTTTGCCTTTTTATTGTATTTTAAATGCTGTATCGCCCAGAGACCTTTGGGTAGTGTGGGCGGCATATTAGTTAAATAAAATAAATAAATAAATAAATAAGTTCTCTTCCCTCTGATCATAGAATTAAAAAAGCAGTGGTAGGTAAAGGTAGAGGTTCCCCTTGACAAATGTCCAGTCGTGTCCGACTCTAGGGTGCGGTGCTCATCCCCATTTCCAAGCCATAGAGCCAGTGCTTGTCTGAAGACAGTTTCCATTGTCACGTGGTCAGCGCGACTAGACACAGAACGCTGTTACCTTCCCACCGAGGTGGTACCTATTTATCTACTTGCATTTGCATACTTTTGAACTGCTAGGTTGGCAGGAGCTGGGACAAGTGACAGGAGCTCACTCCAATCTATGGATTCGATCTTATGACTGCTTGTCTTCTGACCCTGCAGCACAGAGGCTTCCGCGGTTTAACCTGCAGTGCCACCACATCCCTTTTACTAAGGATACTTACTATTAATTTTACCATCATTATACATACCTCTTAGTTTATTAATATTCAAGCAAATTTTGTACTTACAGCGTATTCTGTAACTATTACACAACCAGAAAAGTTACTATTGAACTCAGATAAAAGCAATTAATTTTCTCTAGTCATTTAGCCTTCGAGACAAAGCGTCAGCAACCACATTTTGGGTCCCTTTTATGCTGCAGATTTTGAAGTCAGAGTCTTGTAGAATCAGTGCCCATCTCATTAATTTGCTGCTGTTGGCTCGAATAGTCCTTAGCCATAGAAGAGGAGAGTGGTCAGTGCACAAGACAAATCTTCTCCCTCAAATGTACAGCTTCAGCTTTTGCACCGTCCATACGATAGCTAAACACTCTTTCTTGATTGTGGACAAGTGTTTCTCACCTAACTGAAGTTTCTTGCTGATGTACATCACTGGGTGCAGATTTCCACTGTTGTCGGCTTGGCTCAATGCGGCTTCCAGTCCCACAGCCGATGAATCCATGTAGATGAACTCATGGTTGAAGTCCAGTGCAATAAGGACAGGTGCTGAAGTCAGCGCCCTCTTCAGACAATCAAAGGCTACCTGGCACTCTTATGTCCACTGGATGCCCTCAGCTTGCCTCTTTCGGGCAAAGTTCATTTTCTTTTTGATTAGTGGCTTCGCTTTCTCAACTGTGGGAAGGATAGGCTGTTTCTTCAACTCCTCCAGAACAACCATGCCTGTGTTCTTCATTGATATCTTCTTGTGCTTGACTTCACCCTCACCCACAAACTCGACCACAGGTATTTTTGTCACAAAGCTCTTTATATGAAGGGGACCACTTTCCTGGGTAACCTCAAAATTCACAGGCAAGTTCGTTTTAAGTGCAGTCTCAAACACTTGGCTTATTTCAAATTTATTAAGATTTTCATCATCTGGTTCTCTTCCATTAATCTCTGATTTCTCAGGTAGGGGCTTGTTTTGCAGGATTATCAGTGCTTTTGCAGCTGCATGTTGAGCCTTCTTAATACTAGTTCCTTCAGCTCTCCAGTGCTGTTGTAACAAATCTACAGGCCCTGAACAGGCTAACTGCAATTTATTGCCCTTTTTCGGTCTCAGCATTAGTACTTCGTCCTTGGGACAGAATGTTTTTTCCCGGGCCTTTTTATCATATCAGCTTTTCTGCTTTTCTTGAGCACGCTTTAACTTGCTCTGCTATCTCTAACGACTTTTGCAAAGTGTTCATTAGATTCTCCATGTACTCTATAGCGGATTCAGGGTCTCCCTGTTCATAATCTTCCCAGTTCTGATGAAGTAAATCTAGGGGCCCTCATACTTTATGCCCAAATAAAAGTTCAAAAGGACTAAACCCGGTACTTCCTTGGGGTATGTCCCTATAAGTGTGTAATAATGACTGCAATTTATTATCCCAGTCATTTGGGTTCTCTGGTACATATGCATGTATTATTCTCATTAAGGTCCCATTAAATTTCTGCACTAGACCATTGGTCTGGGGATGATAAGAAGAAGTGAAGTGGGAAATTCTGCAGACTTGCCACAATCGCTTCATTATTTTGTATCGCTTAGCGATGTTTCCTATGGCGATTTTTGCTTAAGGACAGTAATCCGTTCCCATTGGAACAGATTAACCAGTTTTCAGTGCATTCCTATGGGAAATGGTGTTTCGCTTAGCGATGTTTTCCCATAGCGATGTTTTTTTGGGAACCAATTAACATCATTAAGCGAGGCACCACTGTAGAAGGAGAAGATATGGAGGCAGTGACAGATTTTACTTTCTTGGGCTCCATGATCACTGCAGACGGTGACAGCAGCCACAAAATTAAAAGACGCCTGCTTCTCAGGAGGAAAGTGGAGGAAGGCAGTGGAAGACAGGAGGGCCTAGTATGCTTTGGTCCATGGGGTCACAAAGAGTCGGACGCAACTAAACAACAACAGCGACCTCTTATGCCTAAATACTTGATGTCGTCAATAAAGTTTCCCCAGAGCTTTCCAGCAAATCTTGATCACACTTGATAAAAAAATTTGTATCACTTTAGCCTCAAAAAGTTCTAGGCTCTCTGCCAAGTCTGTTCTCTTAGCAACAGCACTACTGCCGGTAACTTCAGCTGCCAAAGGCTGAAGGAGAAATACTTTTTTACGCTCAATGTAATTTCCATTTTTAGGTTGACTGAAATTCCTCTTTTGAGTTTCACATTGGCCAAAAAAATGTCCTGATTTATCACAAGCATAACACTGTTTATTTGCCCTATGTTCTACGCATAGGGATTTATTAATTTATCCCTCAGAACTATTTGATTTCAGGGGACTGTGCTCTGGGAATGAAGGTATTGCTTTAAAATACCTTCCCTGAGCTTGAGCAAAACTGAGGTAATTTTTACTGGACTTACCATCGTCCCACACTTTTCTACAAAATTTTACCTCAGAAAATTGAGTATCTCTGATCCCACTAATATAATCAGTATGTTCAGAGACTTGTAGCACATTTTTGTCCTTGACCAGATAACGCAGTTCCCCTAGCAAAATTGAATAAAATTGTTCTAATCCAAAATGTTTTCATTTATTCTAAGGAAATGACATATTCTTGTTCCAGCCATTTATTAAGAAACTGAGTCAAACGTGCCCCAAGTTGAGCAAAAGACTCCTCAGATTTCTTTGAAATTGATCTAAATTTTCTTCTGAGGTGCTCTGGATTAATCCCAAACCTTGAATACACCATCTTTTTTTATCGTGGCCTCTGTGAATGCACACAAGTGGGTTAAAACAGCGCCTGTGCTGGTCCTCTCTGAATCTTCTAAAACTTTAGGAGAAAAGTAACAAAATTTAGGTTGCCCCTATAGTGCATGCTCCGCCCACCTCAGCTCTCAGTTCCATTTTTCCGCCCTTGGTGTTGGAACCTCTCTCTTAGAGCTAGTGATTTCATACTTATTTTCACTGATTTTTCGGCTTTGACGCGGCTTTCCTGGATAATTTCGATCTATCTGGTGCCCCTGAACTCGGACTATAAGACTATTCTACTGGCTTTTCTATCACAAGTACTTGTTGATTGGGACTTCCCGCGCTTTTGATCTGCCACCGTTGTGGCACGCGCCAGCCTCACTTCTCTGTTTATTCAATTACTGACTTCCCATTCTAATTAGCACTTTATGTCATGCTCTGGGCCATTTAGTCAGTGTTCTTTCTGCTCTCGCAAATTGCCCTTTCAAGACGGACACGATTTATGTGTTTTTTGCCTTGGGGAAAGCCATCAGCCTCATCTTTGCAAGCATTGTAAGAACTTTACAAAGGCAGCTTTGAAGGCTCGTGAACAGCAGCTTAAGTTATTTCTTTGGGACAAAACCCTATCTGCCTCTCAGCCTTCAGAGATGGAATCCACTCCACCTCCTTCAGATCAGAGGTGTGGGTTGCCTCTCCACCACCTCTCTCTACCACTAAAACTGAAAAACCAAAAAAGAAACTGGGTCCTAAGAGGGCACGTACCTCTACACCTTCTTCCAGTTCAACCAGTGACCTGAAACAGAAAAAATCATTGTTTAAAACCAAGGAAAAGTCAAAAGTACAACTTCTGAATGTACCCCCTGTCTCGGCGTGAGTTCCCTCGCCTGTCTTAGAAGACTCCTCTTGGGATCGGGAATCCCTTTCGGAGGTGGCAGTATCTTTACCACCTCGACAACAGGATGTTTTCCTGGTCGACATTTGTCCGTTGCCTACCGCGAGCCAGCTAATCCATATGCTTACTAGCTTGGCAGTTTGTTTATTTATTTATTTATTTATTTATTTATTTATTTATTTATTTATTTATTTATTTATTTATTTATTTATTTATTTATTTACAATATTTTTTAGCCGCACC